AAGGGCTGGGATGTTAATCTTGAGCGATGCTCGCTCCTGGCAGTGCTGGAAAAGGGGGAAAATTCCTCTTTTTTTTCTTTTTTTTACACTTATTTCTCAGTTAGTGCAATAAAGTGTCAGCTATACTGCTCTAAGACTGCTGGAGCTTGGAGTTTTTACATCCCACCAAGTGCAAGTCAAGGCAGCCGCTGATTTTGTGGCTTTCTCAGTTTGCTCTGGTTTAGGAACGGACTTGAGAGTGTGTCATTTTGCTGTTACTGTTATTAAAAATTATTATCCACAAAAAAAGCCTTGGCACAACTCCCCTGGTAAAAATGTGTCAAACCCAGTGGCACCACATCCAACACTGGAGGTCTGAACATATTTCCTGTTTTTTCATACCATTTACAATGCAGAAAATACCCAAAAAGAAGGCGACATTTCTCTTTTGTAAAGTTAAGAGGTAAAAAAAAAACAAGATCAGCCAAAATGTTGGTGTCTATGAGAAAATAAATCTCAAATCCAGGCCCTGATCACCCTGGAGAAAAATCAGTCCCAATCTCAAAACACCCTTAGTAGTGTCCTCAAAGTAGACAAAGAAAGAGGCAAATTTGTGCTGATTTAAAGATTTTACCATTATTTTTTCCATTTATAAAGATTTCAGAATGCAGGGGGTTGGCAATACTTAGAGGCCATGAAAATCCCTATTTTCCATTACTGGTGTGACATATGTAGTAGATAAAATTTCTTTATTCTTTGCTACAAGTGTCACAGGGCACCACATCTTGCACTCTCCTCTTGGTCACCACAGGAGTATATCCTCTGTCTGGACAAATTTCTGATAGTTTACTTGCTCCCATTTAAATTAAAAAAAAAAACTCTCAAAATCCCATGAAACCTCTCAAAAATTCACAATATCATAAAACCAATTAATATTGAACTTTCAGATTTCCTTTTAAACAGCTGCAGTTCACGGAAATCTGAGATTCCCAGGGAATTCCAGCAGTGGGCTCTGAGCACCAGATCTCCAAATGTACATTGAAAATTCCAAAGAACATGTGGATTTGGAAGTTCTGGCTTTTATGTTGCTTCCAGGCAAAGAATCCAACCAAAAAATCCCTCCTTTGGAGCAAATTGATTGGCAGCAAGTTGGCAGCAATGACTTTGGAACACCAGAAAATCACCATATACTTTTAACTAAAGGAAGGGAATGTTTCTCCTCAACTCCCCCATATCTACTCCAGCTTGGCCTGGTTTCTCTTAGTTCTGTTGTGGATACAAAGCTGCAAGATTTATTGTATCAGATTAAAAGTAAAGGCTATTAATGTCAGATTCCGTGGGGATTTTTCGTTAAGGCTTCTTGGTTTTACTTTATTTATAAATTATCATCCTGAGGCTTGTAAAAAGGGCTTTCCCCCCTCTCATTCGAGTGACACGGTAATTTATATTGCTGGTAGTTCCATAGGAGAATTCAATTAAGAATTACAATTTGTTTCCTTATAACAGGAGGTAAACTGGCACCGTGCTTCTACACAGGAGCCATTAACAGGTTTTACACTGTCAGAGTGGCAAAAATTAATATATTCTGCATCAAAAACTAAAAAAAGCCAGTTAAGTCATTTAGCTTGTATGGCCCATGAATGTGGTCATGCAGTTTAAATGACATTTCTCTCTCTATGCCAGGATTAGGGGCAGAAGCTCCTTGTACTGAGATTTCTGACAGCTCAGGATGAAAGATATAAAAAGTTCTCTTGAGTTGATCTTCCTCTGCTTTCATTTGAGGTGACTTACTCTGATATTGGGGAGAAATTCTTCCCTGTGAGGCTGGTGAGGCCCTGGCACAGGTTGTCCAGAGAAGCTGTGGCTGCCCCTGGATCCCTGGAATTTTCCAAGGCCAGGTTGGACGAGACTTGGAGCAACCTCGGCTAGTGGAAGGTGTCCCTGCCCATGGCAGGGTGTGGAACAAAATGATTTTAAGGTCCCTTCCAACCCAAACATGTTGTGATTCTATGGTGTCTCAAGCCTTTAACACATTTTTACATTCAACTATTAGATTCTCTGAACAGAAAGATACAAAGTCATTATTCCTTCTTAGATCATAATATCACAGACCATACCCATAATAAACCCCACAAGGTGGTCCTATAACCTCAGTTGCACCAAATAACACTTTTTTTTAAAAAGTTTGGGTTCAGAAAACACTGTGTTTATGTTCCCTGGACTTTTTGCATCAGCAGAGCTGAGATATTTCATGGCACGAAATTACTACTTGATACAAACGTAGAGGATAATAATTAACCACAAGCGAAAATCCAACAGGCAGAAATCACTTAGGAAAACAGAGAGGACGGATCTTGCCCCAGACAGTCTGTCCTCCCTTCCATCTCAGTGCACCAGCACGAGCCTGTAACATCAGCCAGCTTTGAGGGCACCAGCAAAGGCCAGTGAACACAGAATAATCATCAAGTGGGTCATAATTACAGAAACATCTGCTCCAGATGTTTTTGTTGTGCTGTGCAGCACCATTTTCTACAACAGCCTGTAAAAGCTTGTATTTTTTATCTCCAGCAGGTTGGTTATTATCCTTACTATTCCAAGTAAAATTAATGTTTTATTCTTGCTATTCCAAGTAAAATGAATGTTCACTAAAGTGACTGGATGCCAGTAAGGACTGAGAGCCTTCATTTATTGCCAGACAAATAATATCAGGGTATCAGCAGGACAGGTTTTTCTCAATCCTGTACACATCTGCACAATGTTATGGAAATCCCCACTGTGGGAAGTTTTAATGCCCATGGTTGGACCCCCCAAGGAACCCTGGAAATGGTCACACCAACACACAACTTCACTCAGGGGCTGGTGTGGGGTTAATCATATGTCAGCTAACCTGGAAGACACAGAAATGAACATGCTGATCATCTGAGTTCTGCAGCAAAACCAATGATTCAGGAGAAAATTATGTCCTTAGAGGGTCTTTAAAGTCCTTTGGAAACACAGCATTTCACAGAATCATTGAGGTTGGAAAAACCTCCAAGATCATCGAGCCCAGCCTGTGAGTGATGCCCACCCTGTCACCCAGCCCAGAGCACTGAGTGAGTGCCACTTTGTTCCTTGAACACTCCCAAGGATGGTGACTCCACCACTTCCCTGGGAAGCCCATTCCAATGCCTGACAACCCTTTCAGCGAAGAAATTCCTCCTGATGTCCAACCTAAAGCTCCCTTGAGGGACCAACCCCTTGCTGCAACAAACATTAGTAATAAAATTCACCACAAACATTTGCCATAAAATTCACAAACACAAAAAAAACCACTTTTTGCCACAGTCACAGGTGCCTCAGACACCACAACAAGGTGGTAAAAAATAAACTGGTTAAGTCAGGATGAGCTCAGGAAGGTGAGTGAACATCAGTTCCCTTTTCCCTTTAAAAGCTGCCACATTCCTCCTCCTCCTCCTTGTGTTTTTAAGCACTAAAGGATTCCTGTGTTTCCCCAAGACAAAGGATGGGCTCTAAAACTCTGTCTTCTGAAGTGATGAGCTAAAGAACACCGCAGGAGTACTTGCCAAATCATACCACCATTATTAATTCAGGCGTGATGAAAGTGTTCATTTTAGCTATAATCATGTAATTCATCAAAATACTACTAGAGCATATCACTGGCAACTATTACACTGATATAGCACCTTATTGCACCTTCCCCGAAAGCAGGAAATGTGTTTTTTGATGCTTATCTGCTGAAAAGCAATTCAGTTTGGGATTTTGGAAGCTCTATCTCACGTTACAATAAAAAAAAAAAAAAGGACATTTCAAACGTATTTTCTTGTACTTGTATGATGTTGTCATTATGGTTTGGGGTGATTATCTCTAAGGATGAAGCTTAAAAATGGTAGAGCCCCGAAACAGGGTATTTATCCAGCGCTGAAGGGAGGAACCATCAGGTTATGAATTTACAGTATTGCCTGAAATTCAAATGTAGATTTTCAATCTGCCCGCTTTTTAAAATAACTTTAGAGGTCAAAATCTGTCTGCCACAAGAACCTTTCAAAAAAAAGGGTGTTTGTTTTTTTTTTTTTGGAGCTCTTTCAACGACAGACAATAGTTGTAAAACAACTGTATCCCGTGATAAATCTCAGGGTGTTAAAAGGAATAAACGGCGCCTTGGGGTGACACAGAACCAAACATCCCAGCGATTGCCCTCTCGCTCTGCCTGTCTCCTCACTTTCCTGAGCAAAATTACAGGGAAAAAAAAATGATGGGAAGAGGAGTGAATTCAATAAATCCTCGTTGATTCTCTCCACGGATGAGCCGTGGAGCCCTTGGCACGGAGCCGGCGGGCGCCGCAGCTGTGCCGCCTGCCGGGCCACGCACCTCCAATTCCCAAATTCCTCGTTTCCTGATTTCCAAAGAACAAAAAGTTGCTAATTGTCCGCATCAGGGAAGCTCCATTATTACAGATGGAAAAGCAAAAAGTTAGCTGTTATCACCCTCAGACAAAATCAAAGAAAACAAGATTAACGCATGCGAAACACGTACAGGGAGACTTTTAGAAGTGCCCAGTACCCCTTTTTCTCTCTCTCCTTTTCCCTCCCTCTCAGCTCCTGCATGGATACGGGCATCCATAATAAATCCAATCCAGTAAATGGACATCCTCCTGCACGGATATAATCAGAATTTGGGGATGGGAGGTGTATAAAGGAGATGGGACAGATACACACACCTGAGCTTGCCATGGGAAGACGCCCGATGGGCCCCTCTTCCCCTACACAAATAAGGTGCCAACCTCTCAAAGTTTAATTTTCATATGCATATTTTTATATGCATTATATATTTTTATATAAAACATCTTTTAACCTAGAGCAGAACACCCTCAGCAAAGGAATAAGATGTAAATTCACAGCTAACATGAAAGCCGTGAGCTGGAGGCAGATCTTTGCACATCACACTGAGGTGAAGGACCAGGGCTTGGAGGAGGAGGAAATCATTTCTGGATTGGCCCTGTCCATTCCAATAATACAATAAAGCTCCATCCTCCTTCATCCACACCACTCCACAGTGGCACCACGGATCCATCAAAGCAGACTCAATGCTTTTAGTCGAGAGTGGAAACAGAAAACAGAGAGAAAAGATGTTATCTCTCTAAAGAGTGAGGAATACAAGACTATAACCAAGTTACACAGAGGGGAAATTCAGCCATATATTAGAAATTTACCTTTTAGAGGCCGCTCAAAACACAGAAGCAGTTGGAAGTGTTGTTCTAATGGAAATCTCACTGTTTAGGGTGACATTTAAAGATTGCCAGAAACGGGCTGAAAGAAATGTACAGAAATGGAAATTTAAAAACTTAAGCCAAAAAACATGGTGAATTAAAAGGTCTTAAAAAGGTGAGTGGAAATGCAGCATTAAAAAAATAATTGTTGTTACTTAAAGTTCCATTATTTGGTGGTTGTGGTACGGCAGGATTGGCTATTCCAGAGTTCTGAAACAAAAATAATGAAAAGCAATATTAAAACTGGACATTTGATGGAAAATACATATTTCTTATAAATAAAGCTCTCCTTTGGAGATATTAGAATTTTTTTTTTATTATCCCATAAAATATAGCAGGCTTTTATTCTTGACATGTGAAACCCCAAACTCTTTTCTTTCAGGAAAAAAAAGAGGTCTCAAGTCAGCTGCAGAGGGCAGAGACAAGTTAAAACTCTCCAAAGATGACAATGAAATATAAATTAGGCCACTAATTCAGGACACACTAATAATCTCCTTCTGCTAATCATGGAATCCCAGAATGGTTTGGGTTGGAAGGGACCTTAAAGACCATCCATGGGCCCAGAGTGTACAGGTCTCCTCCACAGAACCCTCCCAATAATTTGATTTATGAAGGATATTTATTTCCTATTTATTTATTTCATTCATTAAGGATGTTTACAAAGCAGCCCAGTTTTACATATGTATATATATTAAAGCTGAAGAAACAGTAAATTATTGTCGGGAGCAATCTTTTATGTTGAATATTAAAGCAAGCTAATAACATTTACTATTCTATTCAGTAATTATTTGAGAGTAATTAGAAGCTAATAGCTACCAGTTTATAGCTATTAAGTCTCTTCAGCATTCCAACTTGGCTTTTATATGATCCTTTTGTTTATTTTCATTGTAATTGTCTCTCATGCAAACACAAATCCCTTCTTCTCCACTTCTAAAGGTACTTAAAATACAGGGAAATTAGTTGGCCACAGGAAAAAATTATTTCCCTTTCAAGGAAGCTTCTTCTATTCTGCAGCTGTAAAAGTGATTAAATTTAAACATGGGAGTAATTATATTTAATTTACTGGGATGATCAGGTGTATGAGGTACATCCACACGTACCTGGCTCCTCCAAGATTTTTATGGATCATAATAGATGATAAAAAAGAGAGACTAAAGCTTCTTTCATCCCATTTCCCAGTAAGAAATGGAGGCTGTTCCACTGCTGGAGCAATCCCACTCTGGGAGGATGAAGCAATTTCACAGCATGTAGGTACAAAATGAGCTTTTTTCACATGATTCCCTTTGAGCAACTTCCTAAATGTTACAGAGGACCCAAGATTTTCTGTGTCTTAAGGAGTTGTTGTTGTTGTCCATCAGTAGGTGGGTCAGCACTGCTGGTTTAGCACATCTGAGGTTGGTATAAATTAGCTTTGCCACCCAGGCTGACCATCAGCACTCCACAGGTTCACAGGTACATCCACAGGGTAACAAAATTACCAGGATGGGATTATTTCACAATAAATAAACCTCACATGTCAAGCACTTAAATTCCTGTGGGACATAAAGCCAGGCCTAAGTTTAAATACATAATAGAGTCACAGACTGGTTTGAGTTGGAAGGGACATTAAAGATCATCCTGTTCCACCCCCTGCCATGGGCAGGGACACCTTCCACTAGCCCAGGTTGCTCCAGCCTGGCCTTGGACACTTCCAGGGATCCAGGGGCAGCCACAGCTTCTCTGGGCAACCTGGGACAGGGCTTCCCCCCCTCACAGCCAGGATTCCTTCCCGATATCCCATCTCTCCCTGCCCTCTGGCAGTGGGAAGCCATTCCCTGTGTCCTGTCCCTCCATCCCCTGTCCCCAGTCCCTCTCCAGCTCTCCTGGAGCCCCTTTAGGCCTTGGAAGGGGCTCTCAGCTCTCCCTGGAGCCTTCTCTTCTCCAGGTGAACCCCCCCAGCTCTCCCAGCCTGGCTCCAGAGCAGAGGGGCTCCAGCCCTGGGAGCATCTCCGTGGCCTCCTGTGGATTTACTCCAACAGGTCCATGTCCTTATTCCGGGGGTGCCAGAGCGGGATGCAGAGCTCCACATGGGATCATCAAGTGGACCAGGCTCATAAGCCAAAGTGTCACACAGTGCAAATCTCCTACAGTTTGAAGCAAGCCCTAAAACATGAATATTTGGTGCCAGTTACCTTGCACACGCTTTTAGCTGGGAAATTGTCATTCCAGCCAAGGAAAACTTCCTGCAAAAAAACACACAGTAGAAAAACTTGGAAGAACTATGTTTTACAAAACCAAACTTTGATAGGCCAATATTCATCTTTGGATGGGATGCAGCAAAGCCCTGCTGCGCTTCCCAGGCTTTTCCACACCTGTATCCAGAGGAGGAGCCGCAGGAAACAGAGCTGTACCTTCAGTCATCGGAAAATATCCTGGGAAAAAACACAGACTACTAGAAATAGTTGAATAAGGTGAGACAAAAGGGACCCCAAAGCACCTCTGCACTGAGACAGGGAGACAGCAGCCTGTGGATAACTTCTCGTTTTCCTAATGCTGGAAGCCATCAACAAGGTGACAGGAATAAGCACAGATTTAACTCCTGAACTTTTTATCTAGACTACATTTTGCTATAATATAAGCTCACTTGTTTTGTTTTTAATCATTATCTAAGCTCATAAGTAATATTTCTGAAAGAAGAGCCTGGTAGATATAACAAAATAACGATGAGAATCTCATTTACTTAATAAAATTCCTTTGATTTTAAATCAAAACTGATCTCCATCCATTTGAACTTTAACTACCTAATTTTGTCTTGCATTTCAGACAACACATAGCAAATGCAATTTGTCATCATAAACGTATTATTATTTAATCATATGAAAGTTTGGGTTTATCTGGAGAAAATATTTATGGTAGTTTTAATACACGGGATCTGTTCTTGACAGAAATGATGAAACAGATTTATCACCCCTGACAAATTATATTGCAAAATGTCCTCTCCTGACTGCTCACACCAGGAATATTAACAACACACACACAGGACTGGAACACCACCTTGATCCTCAATTTTTTTCGGCTGATCCCTTTTCATGGACACCACACAGCACTTGGAATGTGAGTTCCTTATGAAGAGTAATTCTGTGAGTGACTGAAACCTGTAGCCCTTTAAATCAAACTAAGTAGTGTTTTATTAAAGTGCCCAGCAAATCAATCTAAATCCAAGGATAATAAAGCCCTAATCAGGTGGTAGAAAAAATAATAGGTTGTCATGCATGAGGAAAAATAGGCAATCATGGAATGTTTTCTTTAATTAGGTTGTGTAAAGTGGAAGGACTGAGTAGGAACTGGCAAGACATTCATCATGAGCAAGGTGGGAAATTATTTAGATTACTGAGGAAGGAGAATTGAGTGTGAAGTACTAAGATTTGACTGGACAGAAAATTAAAACTGTTTTGCCATTCGTGTCACTTGCTTTTGGCAGCTCCTTGGCAGGTGTGGCTTTTCCAAGGAGTGTGAATCCAGAGGCTCCTGGAGTTTAAAGTCCCCACAGAACTGGTTCTAACTTTTAATGGCATTAATGTGGGCAGGTTCTGTCTGTGCCTTCCAGAAAGACAGAGTGGAAAGTTATGTCCCTTGAGTTTTAGCTGGAAAAATCACATGGATTCAATTCCTACTTTAAAATAAAGTGGTTACTCTTACTATCCCAGGTCATTAGTACATTGTATAACTACAGTACTGGAGCTCCTTTACAAATTGCAATCACACCAAGAAACATTATTTTACAGTTAAATGAATCTCCCAAAGTTAAGGAAACTAAGTTGTTATTATTATTATTATTATTATTACTATTACTATTTTGGAGCCATCCATTGCTGAATTCACATATGCTATGTATAAAAGAATCAACAATATTAAGAGCTTAAAAATATCCTGAAAAAAATAAAAGAAAAATATCCTGGAGGCTTTTAGAGACATTCTAATTAGGGAAAATAAAATGCACTTTAATTTGGTCAGTTTTTAATACCTGTCCTAAGTTTTAGGCAGCACAGAACACAAAGAGGACTCCTGACTTCATCCCAGCTGTGAGAACATTTCAGTACCAGACCAAGAGATGGTCTCTCTGTCTTCCCTCTCATTTCATTAAGAGGTAGTACCTCAGTGATTATTTTGGAATGTCATAATTACAAATGTTATCAAAACAGAGTGGGTTTTGTTACCGGTTTGTGAGAGAGAGAGATCTTGACTCTTGCTGGTCCCTTCTCTCACCATTAGGTTTGATGGTGACTTCCAGACCATAAATGCAGAGAAAAATTCCTAAACATCTTCAATGCTGATCAACAGTCAAAGCTGCCTCCTCCTAAAATCAAAACAGTAACAAAATCGTTTTAAGCTTAAGCTGATTTCAAAACCATCTTCTTTTAGGCAGAGTTTCTGATCCACGAAGATTGTACCAATGTCTGAGAGCTCAAAAAATTTTGGTCAACTGAAATCTCACTATTTCCTGGTAAAAAGTGCAGCTGAGAGATATCCATGAAGGAATTATGGCAAAAACTGCAGCTGAGGGATATCCATGAAGGAATTATGCCCTGCAGATTTTCTTGGAGCAATGGATGCTGGAAGTTCTTCAGTGAGAAGAAATGGAGATGTTCTCCCAATTTTGGACCAGTTACTCCAGGAAAACAGACACAGTAGCAGGAAATTGGGACTGTCACATAGTCAGTAGATCCCAACCATTCCTAGAGGGATGCTGATGGAATGGCAAACTCCAGATCAGGAAATGTTTAATCAGAAACCCTTTAACGAGAACTACCCTGCTAATCCTCTGCAGAGGGAAGAATGTATTTGTACACAAAGTTTGTCTGGAGAAAATCTTCAGGAAAATAACTAAGTTTGAGTCTAAAACTTGGTGTTGTTCCTCTCCAAATAATCCTGTCTGGTTTTCAGCAGCTCACACCTAAACTGGTGTGATAATTGCTGCGCTGTGGCAATGGATAAATGGGGCCGTTTTCCCTCCCCTGTTTTTTTTAGGAGTAAATAAAAACACTTCAGAGAAGAATTTTCACATCACAAAAAAAAAAAAAAAAAAAAAAAAAAGAAAAAGAGTTCCAAGGTGTTTTTCTCCTTGTTAACTTCCCTCAGAAGTGGCATTGAGGATTTTCCAGGGAGGCTGCAGGGCTGAGGGAGGATGTGAGGGCTGGAATCACGGAACCACAGAACCGTTAAGGCTGGAAAAGACCTTTGAGCTCATCGAGTCCAACCACGGCCACCTCCCGAAGAACAAACCCACAAATCACTTGGCACCAACTTTGATCCACCTTGTTTTCAGGTGGTTTCCTCTCTTGTCCATTATTCCTGCCAAGAGACCCGTGAAAATTAAATCCAGCCCCCGCCACTGCCGGAGTGACCCAGTGCTCCATCATCCCCCAACGTAATGGCAATAAATCATTTCAACTTTAATCTATTGTTATTGATGAATGTACAATTATTTGTCATCTAATATGCTGAAAATGATGACCAAAGAAATAGATCAACTTTCTCTTTTTTTTTTTTCCCTTCTCCCAAGTAAGGCATTGATGGATTGTATCCCTAAGCTGTTATTACACTTATAATGTACTCTTCTGCTATGACAGCACAGCTAGTTTTTTAATCATTCCATAGTAATCAACTTAAGACAACACAGCAAGACTCATAACTCATGTTCTTTTCATTTCTGGCAGTGATGGGAAATGAAAATGTTTTTATTCTTTTGAAATAATTCTTACCTGACTAGGCTGGAGATTGCTTTAAAATTGTAAATAAATGGTTGTTTATTGAGCTGGAACTGAAAAGTGACACATTAAAATGCCCATTTCTGAAGAAAAAGAATAATAATTTAGGCCTGAGTGGAGTTAGAGATGGTTAAAAAATCCTTTGTTTTTCTTTTAACTGGTTCAGTGCTAACTAAAACTTATACTTGCTGGTTAAGTGATACAAAAAAAGGCTCCTATTTAAGCCCAATTTAAGAGCAGATTAAGTCTGCAAAGACAGACTGGCTTAGTAAAGAAATTTCTGGGTGTATTTTTAAAAACTCTCTTTGAAAATCTGTGGGTTTGGGAGCCACTTTCCACTTTCAGTAGCAACTCAGACGTAAGACATGATCTAGAAATCATCATCAACTTATTTTTAGTGGTTTAACTGGACCTTGTAAAAATCTCTTGGAAGAGGAAAACCTCAGTTATTCCTCAAGACACTGTAAGGATTGGAAGAGCAGACACTGTTTCCCAGGAATTCCCGTGTTCCTGCAACATGGATGATGTATAAGAAAAGAAAATACTTCAAGAAATTGTTTCTTGATTTAAAAAAATGGTCTGGAAAAATTTGACATTGCAATAATTCCCAAAAACATACATTGATAACAACAACTATTTTTAAAAAAAGCGTTGAATCTGTTCTGATGGGGTTTATGTGAAAAAAAAAAAAAAAAAAAAGAAGGATTTGTCCTAATTTTGGACTAATGAGAGGTCTTTGAATACCCCCTGTCTTGGGACACAGGGAAATCTGGAGCTGAGTGCTCATCCTCCATCCTAAAAGGGTCATAAGTACCATAAAATTCCCAACAAAACCCTCTTTCAAATGTCTACAGTTTAAAAAGTTGTGAAAAATCAATGAAGTTTTGTTCTGAGAATAGGGATATACTATATGATAAAACTGCAGCATGCAATGTCATTTTTAAAAAGCAGAAAAGGGATTTTAAACAAGCATGGGAATGTTGTTTTAAATCCTTCCAAGCACAGCCTCCATTAGGAAGCTCAACCCTGATTCCAGGGCTCCCAAAACGGCTGCAGAGGAAGAGCTGCACCGGTGGGTTTTTTCTGGATCTGGGAAAGGTCAAGACCTTTTAAAATTATTTTATGGGGGAAGAAGAGCAACGATTCCTATTCATGAGAGATGCAGGCAGCAATTCCAGTTGGTGGAATTCAACTGGTGGCTCCAGTTGACACCAAGGCCCACAGGTACCAACTCTCTCCAGAAGGGAAGAGGATTCCATAGGAAATAAACTCATTTCTGTTTAACATCTTTTCAACACCCCTTTGTATGGTCTGACTTCAAGACAGTCCTCTGATATAAAACACATCATAGAATCATCTTTCTAGAATGCAGAACATTTTCTTTTAAGAACCTCCATCCCCTGCCTAGTTTGGTTTTATTCCTCACTCCCTACTTGTTGCAGATGCCTGCAGCAATTTTCATTCCATCCCCTCTGCTGCTCATCACAAAACATTTCTTTATCAATACTGATCAATAATATAATAATATATCAATAATATATGATTAATAATGTAATAATAATTATATAATAATAAATTGATACTGATTTATCTCACTGAAGCAGCAGAGACAGACTCAACACCTCTTTTCCAACAAGAATAACTGATTTAGGAATATAAACTGTTAAAACTTCCACAAAAACACAATATTCAACTCCAGAAATCTGCTTTTGGTGGCTAAATTTGGGGGCACCATCATTCATGCCCTTTTTAATGAGAAATTACTAACAAATGATTAACATGGAATGCAAAAACAACAACAAAAGACCCACAAAATAATAACTTAAGTGCTGTCTGTTTAGTCACACGACAGACTAAGCTCTATTTGCTTTTCCACTGAATTTATTTCAGGAATTATGAATGTTGCTAACACTTGCTTGGATCTCCTTGCCTTTAGCCATCATTATCAGTTATCTTTAGGGGTAATCATTTTTCTTAAAATCATGACCCATTTGATATCTTAAAAACAGCAACATTAATTCTCATTTGTCACAGGGCAGGGGATAAATTGGCTAAATGATAATAGCATTCTTCTTGAGTAATCAGTTCTACATGATTAACCTAAAAATTGCCAAAATATTGTTTACTATTCATTTGTATCTGAGGCAAAGGAGAGCCACGATCCATGAGTTAGAGGAGGATTAATTTGGGTTCGGATCTACATTAAAACTTGCCACAATGATTCATAATCATCTGACTCGATATTTATCCTGACAAAAGTGTTTAATTCGGAGAGCAACTCATCAGATAATTCTGCCCAAAAGCATCCCTGCTTCCTCATGCTCACAGTTTCAATATACACCACAGAGGGGTAAGTGTGTTTTTAGGCAGGGGTTTGGGGGCGAATTTGGGTTTTTTTAATATGCTCTTGACTTTTTTCTCTTCTTTATTTAATTTTCTTGATGCAGGAGGATAAAGTCGATGGTCTTTACCACCATCTAGTGGATCTAATTATTTACAGCAAGACATGCTGATATCAAAGAATAGGGATAAAAAATATTTAACCTGTAATATATATGGATTTTCTCCATTTTATGGTAAATATGGTATTAGTTATCCCACAGTGTGCATTTAATGTGTGTTGCAGCCTGTAGTAAAACACCACTAACTTCACTAAAAATGGAGAAAACAAAGTCTAAGGACGTGATGCTTAAAATTGTGTATATATATATATATATATGTATATAAATAAAAACAAAATAGAAATACAGATAACATTAAAAATAAAATGAAAGTGAAATAAAATTAAAATAAAAAATAAAATAAATAAAAAATAAAATAGAAAATAAAATAAAAAGAAATCATATATATATATATATATATAAAGGGATACAGCATTCAGGGCATAATTGAGCTCAAAGTTATTATTACAGAGAGATTTGGGACCACAATATTAGCGCAGATCATAAACCATGAACAGTGATGAACAAGTGATTCTCACAAACAGAGCCTGGAGTATAAATGATTTCTCCTCTGAAGACCTGGCTGAGTTTTTTGGAAGTTTACAGATACATTATCAGTTGTTTAAGTAGCAACAAAGTGCCTTTATCAGACCCCAGAGTGGATCCCTGGAGAGCATTTAGAGCATTTTGGCTCCAGGAAGGACAGGCAGAGCTTCCCCACCCAGAGTGGGCAATGTCAGATCCTTCTGCACAAGGATCTTCATCCAAGGCATTTGCAGGAAAAGAGCATTAAAATCCCACAGCAGAGAGAATTTAAAGTGTGAATCACTAATACCAGAAATAGGGCAAAAGGAAGTGGCCTCAAGTTGCACCAGGGGAGGTTTAGGTTGGATATCAGGAGAATTTCTTCATGGAATCTCTTCATTTCTCCATTTCTTCATGGAGTCCCCATCCCTGGAGGGATTTCAAAGCCCTGTGGATGTGGCACTTGGGGACAGGGGTCAGTGGTGGCCTTGGCACTCCTGTGGGATAGTTGGACTCAATGATCTTAGAGGGCTTTTCCAACCCAAACCATTCCATGATCCTATATTGCCCTTTCCA